GAAGGTGCAGGAATTGGGGTGATCTGAGGTGTGAAGGTGCAGGAATTGGGGTGATCTGAGGGGTGAAGGTGCAGGAATTGGGGTGATCTGAGGGGGGGAGGTGCAGGAATTGGGGTGCTGTTCCTGTTCTAGGGATACAAAGAAACATCAAATCTGCTCTAAGCCCCGCCCCTAGTGTACGCGCTGCCAGGACGGGACGTGTTATTGGCCGGTATCTCCTTCCTCTGCTCTAAGCCCCGCCCCTAGTGGACGCGCTGCTGGGACGGCGTTGTCAGGCTCAGCCAGATATGGAGTTCTGCTGGCGGTTCTGTGACACGCCCACCGCGTACCATCTGCTCACCGAGTGTAATGTGATAGAAGCGTTTGCTTGTTGCGCGGCGGTATAAGGAAGCGCAACTCCGAGCCGATGGACGCATCGCTCGCGTACATGCGATAGGATTGACGTTCGTCTCCAACGCGTTTCGGTGGCACCGCCCCCCTTCCTCAGTATGCAGGGCAGCGGCAGTGTGTCGGGGGGGTTCTATGCCGATGGTCTCTGTGGAGCTGCAGTCCGGTGTGCGGCACATACACGCTCTGCTATCTACTTCACGCTACGCAAGGTCCCTCAACGGGGAAATGTCAGCCGTCCCTCAGATCCAGCCCCTCCCCCGTCTACACCCTTCTATCGCCCTCTTGGCGGCTCACTTACGCTTTGTCGGGCGGACGCGGCGTGGCTGGGGTCGGTCAGGGTGCTGAATAGAAGGTTCTTGACGCTGCGGAAGACTTCTTCACCCTCGGGGCCGGATCCCAGCTGGACGCAGAGAAGAGACACCAATATGGCGGCCAGAGATTGCTCCTCCTCCTTGCCTGCAGAAGAAGGCAGACATGGTCACGTAGTGACAGCGGCAGCCATATTGTCGGATGAACGCGGCACCGCCACGAGATAATACCTTTCTTCAGACAACGTTCCAGAGCGTCTGTGAGCGTCACTCTCCTCTCCAGCAAGAAGTCTCCGAGGACCTGGGAGGACAGGGCGAGGCGCAGGTTCCCCAGCGCTGCAAGCCTCGTCTTCACACTGAGAGGTGGAAGGTAAAGAGTCAGCTGGAATCTCCAAGCCATCGTGACACGCTCCTGACTCCTCCCCTCCTGACCCCTCCCCTCTCAACCCTCCTGACCCCTCAAAACCCTTCTGATACCTTCCAATCTGCTGACCCCTTCACCCTCCTAACACATCCCACCTTCCTGACCCCTCCCCTCCTGACCTCTCAACCCTTCTACCCTTTTGACGCCTCCCACCCTTCTGACACCTCTACCCTGCTGACCCCTCCCAACCCCTCCCAACCTGTTGACCCCTTCACCCTCCCAACCCGCTGACCCCTCAACCCTTCTGACCCCTCAACCCTTCTGACCCCTCCCACCCTTCTGACCCCTTCACTCTAACACATCCCACCTTCCTGACCCCACAACCCCTCCCAACCCCTCTACCCCGCCCACCCCTCCTGACCCCTCCCACCCTGCCGACGTCTGATCACCTCTTGTCCAGCAGATTTTCGATATCTTCCTTCAGTTTATCTTCCCGCTGCTCCTGGTAGGACTGGATATCGGGGGCGTCACTGCCTGAGAGGGACACAAACACAAGATGCACAACATGACTCAGATCGGATTTATAACTGGGATCCTAAGCCGGAGGTCACATGAGCAACCCGACATTCTGATTGGTTGATCATTAGAACATTTACATTAAAGGGACCACGTCAGGGGAAAGAAATGGCCAAAAGGCTCTTCCTGCAAATGAAGAGTAAATAACTTTAAGAGCAGCGGGACCCCAGGGGGCAACGGGGAGACCCTGGGGGAGCAGGGACCACAAGGGGCTGAGGGAGACCCCAGGGGGAGCAGGGACCACAGGGGGCCGAGGGAGACCTCAGGGGGAGCAGGGACCACAGGGGGCCGAGGGAGACCCTTGGGGAGAAGGGACCACAGGGGGCGGAGGGAGACCCTGGGGGAGCAGGGGCCACAGGGGGCGGAGGGAGACCCCAGGGGAGCAGGGACTTGGAGTCTGTTCACACATTGCAATGCATATGTCCTGTGGCAGGCGGGATTCAGGGCACAGACAGACGCACACGCAAGGCACAGACAGACGCACACGCAGGGCACAGACAGACGCACACGCAGGGCACAGACAGACGCACACGCAGGCAGACGTCTCTGATGCGGAATCGTCTTGTCATGTGACCGCGGATTGTTCTGAATATTTGGGGATGAGAATTCTGATACAATTGGAAGGATTGTCCTGACAATAGTGATACCGATGACGAGATGATCCCAGATTGGGGGGGTGAGAGACTCCACCCCCCACGGATCAGGATCTCTCCACGTTGGGAAGTTCGGGGCGGCAGGTTGATTGTCACACACATCGGGATCTATTTAACGGGCCCCATAGCTCCGGATGATGCCCCTCCCCCCCCCCAGACCTGAGTCATTGTTGACACAAGCTATCAGTCTATTGACATTTCAGTTCTGGAGTTGTCACCACGCAGCTCAGTGACCCCGCCGCCTGATTTGTATCATGTGTTCTGTTAGTCACCGGGGGGTGACAACGCCGGAGACAGCAGAACCTTCCAAGGGGTGTCAATACTTTTGCACAGACATCTACACACGCACAGAGATGAACGGTCGCAGCTTTGCGTTAATATGGCCGCCACGTCAGTCTGAGCGAAACAATATGGCGGAAGAACGCCCTGAATAGATGGGATGAAT